GTGCCACTCGGCCGGCCCACTTCCCAATTTTAATGTACAGCAGATGTGGTAAAAAGGTATTCTGCAAATAATCACATAATGGAAGTCTTTCTCAATTGAAGACGGAATAAGGTAATGTTTTTAATTTTCTCAATTGTTTTCTCTCAGAAATTTTTCATAAAACTCTTAGTCTTCTGTTGGTAGTGAGCGCCAACAGGCAGCCAGCTCCCCGAATAAGAGCAAACTATGTAGTGGAAAGCTCAGATAGCACCAATGCTGAAACAACCCGCCATTTTTCAGGAGCATGTGTGGTGGTGATTATAGTTTTTGACTGACTTTTCTCCCAGAAAAATTCTTAGTTTGCAGGATGGGATTCAGTCTAGCAATCACTCTCGGTATTCTAGAGAGAACCATGGCCTTTCAAATGCTCTGACAGCCAACCGATGTTGCGAGCCACAGCTGTAGGTCCTAGGGGACAATGGGAAAGGGCTTTACAAACTGAGGCTTGGAGAGGCGACACAGGGCTCAGCTGAGGGCAAAACAAAGTGGGCTTAAGGTAGCCGTTGTGGGCATGATGCCAGCTGGGCATTCTCAGTGGGCATCTCTCAGCTGTAAGTAAGCTGACTGTCCCCTGAAGGGAAGAGTGTCCACATCTGGTTTTACAGATTGTCAAAGACACAGATTCCCTTGGCTCTGAAGTGCATTTTATTCCATAAAAAAAAAAGTCTTTTAAAAGTTTTACCTGTGGAAACTCTCTTTCCACTAACTATAGAAGAACTCAAACATCCAGACCCGGACATCAGAGGTGAATCTTTCATACATGAAATTCTCAGCTTTACATTCAGAGGAAAGAGAAGGTGAGCTAGTTTCTGCAGACATATTCATAGATTAGAGCTGTAAGGGCCCAGAAAAAGTCATGTTTCACTGTAATCTTATGTCCTATACATACATAATCTTTCCTGTATAGGGAGAAAAGCAGTGTCCCCCATAAAGACACGTTCCATACCATTTAACTGAAGTGGGATTAGAGCACCATCTTGTGGCCAAAATCTATAACATGGTGAACAGAATACCTCTATTCCATTCTTTCTTGGGAGTTTGAGTTTTTAGTAATGGTCCGCTTTCTCATGAACACATAAAAATGCTTTGAGAATAATATTACATTTTATATATGCATATAACAAACACATAATACAGAGGGTGCCAAAAAACTGTATACACATTTTAAGAAAGGAAAAATCTACTGAAATTGTAATTATACCGATAACAAAAGATGAATACAAGTCACGTTGGACTTCTGCAATTATTATACAAGAGGTGCTCAAAGTGGTTACTATCAGCTTAATTTTAAGTTTTTTCCTTTCTTAAAATGTGTATACATTTTTTTGGCACCCTCTGTATGGACTAAAAAGAATGTCTTATGTAATTGAGTCTGTAGACATCAATCTTACATTTTGGGCTGAGAAGTTTTTTTGGTGCAATATTTTGGGCTTAGGGAACTGGAGAGTGGAAAAAGGTGTGAAAGGACTTCAGAATTTCAAAGTAAATAACTCCAATGTCTTTCTTTGGTGCCAAGTTCAAGTACTGGTGCTTCTATATCCCACTAACTTCCTACAGTCATGACTGTCTTCTCAACACCGACTAGACTTTAGTTGAAAAGCCAGTCTGCCCACTGATCACTGAATGCTCTTGGTTACACACCCCTTTTGACAACATCCTGTCACCCGTATGTTCCTCATGCCCACACATCACATTTATGCAGGATTTANAGCTCTGGACGTTTCTGGATGATGGATTCGTTCAAACTGTCCAATTGCTGACAGTACACATTCGAATTGATTGTTTGGTTCCTTGGTAGGAGCTAGAAAAACACAACACCTTTAAAATCCCACCAGCCTGAGAGCATAACCTTCCTCTGATGAATGTCTGCTTTTGATGCCATTTGAGGGTAATCATCATGTTGGGACCAAGACTATTTGCATACCACATTGTTGTAAACAGTCCACTTCTCACCACCAGTTATGAGTTGCTTCAAAAAAGGATTGTTTTCCTCACGTTTAATGAGCATATTGCAGACATTTATATGCACCATCAAATGAACTTCTTTGAGTTCATGTGGAATCTAAATATCGAGATTACTTACATACCCCAGCTTCTTTAGGTGGTCATGAACGCTTGAATGATGGATGTTCAATATTTCTGCAATGTCTCATGTCATGTAACACGGGTTTGACTCGATCAATGCCTTTATTTTGTTGTCATCAACCTCGGTGGGCCTCCCTGACCAAGGAGCGTGGCTGAGATCAAAATCACCAGCACAGAATTTCGTGAACTATCTTTCACACTGATGTTCTTGTAGAGCATTGTCACCGTAAACTTTATGCAACTTTTCACAAGCTTGACGTGCGTTCTTCCCTTTATCGAAGTAAAACAGTAAAATATGGCAAAAATACACAGTTTGGTCTTCCATCTTCAACTTGTTGAAAAATCTCCAAAACTCAACCAAATCACTTAATTTTTTTTACAATGAAGCTAGAACTTTCAGCTATCAAATGACATAGCAATAACATAGATGTGAATGACTCTAGTACTTCCAAAAATGTACTGCCACCTGTTGCAAACATACGTCATGACTTTTCCGACAGCCCAATATTTAGCTCAAAAATTTCATTAGCCTCCTGACTGACACACTTGCCTTTTAAAATTGAAGGCAGATGAAGCCAGTCTTCTGCTCAAACCCTCCAATGGCTTTCCATCTCACTTAAAGTAAAAAATCAAAGTCCTTACCATGGCCTCAGGGCTCAACATGGTCTGTCTGGTGACCCTTCTGTCCTCATCTCTCTCTGCACTCCTGTCTGCTCCGGTCACACTAGCTGCCTTGCCAACCCTAGAAAACCTCAGGCATGCTCTCACCTCAAGGCCTTAGCACTTACTGTTCCCTTTTCCAGGACAGCACTTCTTCATATTTCCACATGGCNTGTTATTAATTTGTTTTCTGTATTCCAGCCCATATTTTCATGGGTGCTTTACAAAAGTACAACTTAATTTAGGTTCATAGAAGACTTTACTTTAAAAATGTGTCGAAATCACATTCTTCATGAGGGATTTGGATCTCGTCTTTTCTTGCAAAGTAGTTTTTATGAACTAGAGCTAGATTTGTTCCACATGTAAATCTAAAAGCAGTCCAGGTTTAGAAGCTTGAGAACCTCAGGGTGAGGATAGGTCCCTTCCAACCTTGTAGGTTAAAGTCCTGCAAACTGCCTTGAACAGGAGTAATTGGGGGTCACATCATCAGCACTACTTAGGGGGGGAGGAAGAATTACAGAGTTTGCAACTAAATTCTCTACAAACCTTTGAAAAATGCTCACCTAAAATAAAACTCGGACACTCCAGCTAGAAGCTGACATTTTGCGTACGCTAGATGAGTATGTGGTTGGAGGGCATTTGCCATCTTTTGCTTCCTAGAAATTTTCCGTAACCTCTTTTCTACAATGGTGTCAATGAGATGCTTCTATAAAATCACGTCTCCTTGTTATGGATGACACATAAATGTGGCATTTTGCCATCAGGTTGGGTCCTCTGTCCCTTTGTTCAATTGTTAGGTTTTGGGAGTTAACTCCCAAAAGAAAGGTGAAATAATTTACATTTAACCTACCAATTCAGCCAACTATGTAATTCTTAAACCTTCCACTCCAAAAACAGTCTGGCATTAGCTGTGATGACTGAAAACCTCTTACATATGACGTTAAGTTCCACTTTCCTGACCAGTCTCAGGAATTTCAAAGGTCCTGCATCTTTCTTTATAAAAAGATTTCATAGCAAAAGTGCTGTCAGTTTAAACATATTACCTTTTCTATTTTCAACTCCCAATTTCCACTTTCCTTGTTAACTCCTGGCAGACTGAAACTGAAAATTATTACTGTTGCCAAAAGTTAAAATTAAGTAAATCAAAGGGAATTTGCAGTTGGAGGATTACTGAATTGACACAAAGGATTAAAGAACCAGGACATACTCTTTAAGATTTGCTGATTACTGAATTAAATGTGTAACAGTGACTTAGAAGAGCGTTTCGTACATCACAGCTGTGATATGGTTGTGGGATACGAAATTGATAAATACGTACTTTATTTTTCCATTACTATCACCATCAACATTTTAAGCTTTTGACTTGCCTGTTTTGTTTTTAAAAGCATAAAATGTACCTTTTCTGCCATTTTACAGAAATTGAATAACTATGAAATAAGTATACAGAATTTTAAACTGAGAAAGAATCTAGATCTCATGTAAATACCTAATTCTTATGATTTGCACCTTACATTTCTAAAGGCTAAGAAGTATAACATTATTATTTTAGCTAAAATTGTATTAGAGGCAAAGTTCACTAACCCCTGGGTATATCAAATTAAACTACAATGAAACAATTAGAGAAACAGTACTTTTTTATTGGTATTACAGCAAGTTCACATAAAACATATATTCCAATTATGATGCCTCAAAGCTAGCAGGGAATAAAATATACCTAACTGTACGTTATCTACAATAATAAAATCAAGGGCTCTAGGAATTATTTATTGGGAGAAGATCAAAAAAAGACTTCTGACAAAACAAAAATGATTTAAAAAAGAAAACAAAAAATGACCTAATGAATCCTTGTTTAATTTTAGGAACTCAGTATGAGGAATAAGATACATTTCTTTACAATTTGAAAAATGTCCAGCTTTGAACATCTGTGACATCTGACTCACTGTTTTCCTGACGGATTTCAGGTTCCCGCATCTCTGGCCGGCTAGCTGGCAGCTACCGTCTTTTCTGCTCTTAAATTCTCCCTGGGCTTGGAGTAGTCCCAGGGCTGCCTGTTCTCGGTGACTCCATAGAGTTTCCTAAGTGCCACTCGAGCAGCCTCTTCTTCTGCAACCAGTACCGTCTCCCCAGGTCCTTCTGCAATTAACTTTTTATCACTAGGAAAAAACCCAACAGTAATCTGAAATTACATGGTGCATCATAAAACAGTCCACAAATCAGTTTCGCCTTGCAAATCTTATTTTGGCAATAATATCCACCAGAAGCAACAGAAATACTGTATCATTTTTTCTTTCTACCAGTAATATGAGCTGCTGATAAAGGATGTGTTTAAGGCTTGCCAATCTGATAAGCAAAAGAGTATCTTATCGTTTTGCTTTGCATTTTAATTAAAACTAAAGAAGAAACATTACAACACTATCCATTTTCTCTTTTGTGATGCCTTTCATTGCTTACACCTAGGTCCTACATCATACAAAGAGTAAAAAATATTTACCTAAGTTCTTAGTTATCTTAGATAGTCAGTTTACATTTAACACTTCAATCCACCGGAAATCAATTTGAGGCAGATCAACTGTTAACTAAGAAAACTAAAAAGTTCTCAACATGACTTGATTTATAAATTTTGATGGACAACTAAACCCTTCTTTTTCCAGTTTTAGGCTCAGCTGAAACTGTTACAAGTGTGGATTAGGGTTAAATCTGTAAAACTTACGAATGAAAATGTTTATTTTTCCACAGAAATATTTATATTAACATATACTCCATGGAATTCTACTGTGGATAGTTGGTTATCAAAAGCTACTATTAGCAAACCATAGATTACTGATCCTCCCCTAAGAATGACCGGCAGGAAAGAAAGCAGTAAATAGATGATAATCATGGAAATGAGATGTTCACAAATCTTGTAATGCATTTAGAGGTTATCTTAAGGAATTGTGAAAAATCAGTTTTTAAGGCTTCCAACCAATATTACGAAGTTAAGATTAAAATGTTACTAACCAGTATAAGCCAACAAAATAAACAGGCAAAGCTGTGGTGCTTCCAGACTGCCTCGTAAGTCTGGATTCAGGAGGCGGAATGTTCCTTTTCTTCAGTTCTTCTACCAGTAGCCCCATGGGATTTACTATCTCCCAAATCTCAAAGAGGTCTTTTCCAGTCATTTGAGTAATTAAGAAATCCTATATATAAAAATACAGTTTGTAGATTTACATTAGTATAAAGAAAATAAGGACCATCATTCAAAGTATGCTTTTAACAGAACTTAAAAACTTAATAGGAAATAAAAAATATGTACTATTTTTCATTCCCATATAGTTTTTCATATAAATTTTACTACAAAAATCACAGTTATAGGTGAAATCTTGTCTCGTACTATAGAAATGTATGTCTCATGCATTCTTATCAGTAAGAAAAATAGTTTTTAAAAGACTTGAATTAATGAGTAAGTAGTAATAACTTCTGGCAGAAACTCTGTGTAAAAAGGCATTAAGTACTTCCTTGTCTATGTTCATGACTTTAAAAAATTTAAATAATCTCACATTAACTACCTTTTAAAAATGTTTGAGTTTATGATACTTCCAACTTATAACACTAAGAATATTGAGGAACAAATTATGAACACTCAGAACAGAAGAGAATCTTTTTGGCAATAAAAAGTTATCTATGTTATATAGAAAATATGGGAACAAACATAGATTTTCACAACAATACACTGCAGCAAACTCATGCTAACAAACACAGTGTATAAGAGGGTGGGTAAATGGACAGAAGGGGAGAAATTTCAAAAGATCCCTTAGTTCAAGAAATAGTCAATTTCATTAGAACACCTCCCCCGCGCATCAGGCCTCAATTTCAGCTTCATTAATAAAAATATTTATAAGTCCATTGTTAGCTGAAGATTTTATATCTTGTAATGTACAGAGACAGAGGTACCTTATAAGACATATATGGTTATTGACCTGTGTATGAATCACTGGACTGTTACTTGCCATATAGGATAACCAACTGTAGGGTAAGGAAAAACAATTCTAATGCCTAAGATATTAGGAGGAATATCAAAAGAAATCTTCATTTTTCTGGGGTGATTGATTACTCATGCCTCCCTTTCTTTCCTCTTGGCTCCAGGTCTTATTAGTTTATTGTCAGAGTTTTCAGTAGGGTGTGGGTTGTGGAATATTCCAATCTCATCTCCCCAGACAGGGAGGCAATATGAAGTAACGATGTTTCTAGAATAAAATGCACATTCGATCATGTAGACTTCCCACTGCCAACCCCTCCCGCTGTCTCTGCATCAGCCTTGCTTGCCGAGACCATCAAATGCACACTGCCCAGCATGGCTAAGAACAGTGCTGCTCACGTTTGGAGGGGGCAGAAGTAGCACCTGGAGAGCTGGTTAAAGCAGATTCCTGCGCCCTCGTCCCACAGGTTCTGATCCGGTAGTCAGGGGCCGTGCCCGAGCATCTGCATTTCTAACAAGTTCTCAGTGCACGTCACGCCTAACCACGCTCGGAGGAGCACAGGTTTACACGTGCTCCCATCTCCCATCACTTTCCCAGACACCATATGATCTGGCCACACAAAATGACGTGTCGTTCCCCAAGCACAAGCTCATCCTCAAGGCTTCTTCCTGGAATGTCCTTAGGGGCAAGCTTCACTTGTGTAAAATTTTTCCCTAACCCTGCTAGAGTCACTCCCTCTGAGTCCCTGCACCTCTACAATAAATACCTCCATGACAGCACCCACACTCCACTCTACCTGCCCAGTGAGCTGTGAATAGGGCCCTGAAGGCACAAATCACACCTTTTAGCTCTGGCACCAGAGCCTGGCATGCATGCAGTAGAAAATACACATCAAGTAGACAAATTAATAAAATAAGACAACGCGAACCTGTCAGTTCTAGTATGAGAGACAAAGAGCTATTTGTGAGAATTTCTTTAGAAAAAGCTATTTAATTGGGGGAGGGGCAGGCGGGAGAGGCTTTGCTTTTCACTTCAAGCCTCGAGGCCTTCAATGGGTCCACTGGCCTCTGCATCTGGGGTGAGGGACGCATAGTCAACTGGCAGCCAACAGGCTGGCAGAAGCTGCCTATAGTAGAGGAGTACAAGTCTGCAGCTGACGTCAGAGGTCTAAAAACCCTTAAGACCTGATGCGGAACTCACAGAAGGGGTGTCACTTTAAAGAAATCCTTCCAGGAAACCAGAAGTTGAGAAGGGAAGGAGCAGGCAACATCCAGGTAAAGGAAAAGGAACATGGTTGGAAGTGCCCACTAGGATCTGTTTTAAACATCAACCAGGCTCAGAAAGCACTACACTAGCTTATAGTCATCAAGTCACGTAAAAATCTGCTTCCCTTTCTCCTTCTCTTTCCCTGAGCCCCACCCCCAAGGAACCAGTGAACATACCTACTTCCCAAAGGCAGGCAGGTAGCCCACCAGTTGGGGAAGGAAGAAGATAGTTTTTCCCTGTGAACAAAGCCTGAGTCTTGGTTAACACAGGCATCCTTCTCCATAAAAATTATCAAACTCATTATCAAAACTAAATGAATAGATTCCAACAGCAAAGGACTCTAGTTGAGAGGACCTGACATTCAAATGTCTGAATCAAGACTTTTTTTTTTAAAAATAATTTAAAGCGATTGTGTGGACTTTTTCATTATGTACATGTAAGAGTAACCAAAAACTCATGCAGGTGATACAAATTCTCCCAGTTCATAAATTCTAAAAGGACAGTAAGAGTCTAGTCATACCAATTACAGAGTATTTTAATTAGCTAAGCTATCAGAAATCCAAGATTGTATCACTTGGAAGAGCAGAACAGCAGCTGCTATTTAAGCATGAGGGCCCCTCACCACACCAGGCCCTCCAGTGGTGTGCTTTGGTCTCATTCACTCACTAAACATCTGGTGGGCATATATACGTAGCACGCTCCTCGTGCCTAAGGACGTAAAGCTCAAGACACTGCAGTCCTTACAAACTCAGAACCCAGTATTTAATACTCACCTCTGATGATGTCCTCAATGGGGGATAACTACAATAATTAAGACACTACCATAAAAAAGTGTTAGGTCTTTCTCAGTTTTGTTAGCAGGAGAGTTTCACATACAACCTCCCAAGGTCATATAGCATGGAAATTAATTAAATTAAAACAAAAAGAAATGTTTCCTTCTGTCCACCTCCAGCATGCACCGGTACGTGCAATTACTAATTACCTACCCTGATGAACAGTGCAGTCCTCGCAGGTCCGCTGCTCTGCAGCAGGGCTCCGATTACTGCAAAGAAAGTCTGCCGTAATACAGTCGGGGGTACTGGGAATTCCGCACTCAGCGTCAACTGCTCCACAGCCAAGTTTCTAGCCACATGACACACGATTTCCTCACCAGTGAGAAAGTCAACAAGACTTTGAACGCCTTCAGAGGGCAAGTTTGGGTATGCATCCTCAAAAAACCGTGTGAGGCATGTTTGTGAAAAAGATGTCCCTTGTTCAGATAGTTCTTGATTATCTTTAAGATTCAGAAGAACAGCTTCTTTCTCTATTCCAAGTTTTTGGCGTTTGGCCTCCTCACTTTTAATATAGCAGCTATTAACAAATGCAGTTTTGAGAAGATCTAAGGAAAAGGTTTCCTGTAACCGATGTCCAAATGCTTGTATTTCAGCATGGTAATCCCAGTTGGGCTTATCTGAACTGAAAATGTAAAATGGAAGACAGTAAGGGATGGTAAAAAAAGCAAGACAGTACTATGATGCAAAACATTTTCATTATGATACAATTTTATTAATTGTATAAAGGAAATAATAAAAGATTTCCATTTTCATGCCAGGCTTTGATTTTCTAAAAGTTAAAACTCAAGCCAGATGATAACACTGTTGCCACATTAAAGTGATTCTTCAACATCAAGAGATTAAGCCATCATCCTAAGGTTTAGCTTCCTTATTTCTGCTCTAACCATGAAACTAACGCTTAATACCTAGGTGGAAATACAAATTGTAATTTCACAGGTTCAAGCCATAAACAACAAATACATTGTATTTATTTTGTATTTTA